GAGGGGGAGAGAGGGGGGGGGTTATAGGGGTATAATAGAAGTAGAGACTTATAGGACAGTAAATTAGGAAAGTACTTATAGAGGTAGGGAAAGAGAGGGGTAAGTAAAAACAACTAAGTACTTATATAGGTAGGGAGGGGGAGGGATAAGTAAAAACGACTAAGTACTTATAGGTATTTTATAGAGGGAAAGGGAGGGGGAAAGGCTCTATAATATAGACAGATAGCTGTGAGGGTTGGAACCCATGATGGAGGCTCGGGCCATGCCCTCGCTAAGCACTGACCAGAGTCCCCGCTCAGCACTGGCCATTCCCCCACTGCCAAGCAAGTCTCTGCTGTTCCATACTTTTCTGTTCTATTCTTTTGACATCATGTATTCGTTAGGCAGCTTCCTGGAATATTCCAGAGACTCTTCCTCTCTCTATATATAGAGGAAGAGCTTGCATGTATGTAGTCTTCACGCACTTCTTAATTGAATATTCGAAACCACACCTTTGAGCTATTCGAGGTCTGGCCTCTCACAATAGCTCGCGGAAGGCTCGGGTTATACTTAAACTTTCTTAGAAGTATAATAGTCTCTAGATTACCGCTCTGTTCTTAAATCTCTACTTTTAACTGCCTAATTAGGCCTGTGTCAGGAATTTCCGTATAGTATTAGGAATGTCCTAACACTAAGTTCCTAGAGGGAATAGCATTAATGTTATATACATACATGTAACGAATACTCAAACTGGCTAACTAAACTTGGCTGGGTGTTCGCTGGTTGGTATGCTATGATAAGAAGAATACTATCGGGTTGTTCACTTGGAAGTGAACTCGTTACTTGTATCAAAGATGTCAAACTAATATGATAAGATTGATAACTAAGTTGAGCACGAAGCTCCTATCTAATGGCAGACGTGCCAGTATTATATAGAACCTTCGTTCTCGCGGATCAGTGCTCATCGCCCTGATCGATTCCGATTCCTCAGAGGTCGTCAGTCCGACCACCTCTGATGCCCATCAATCACGTGACAGTAACTAAAGGAAATCCATGGATCGCTTAGCTGGCCTAAGCAATCCCTATTTGCTATAAGAAACCTGGATGTGCCTGTCGAGGGTTGCGCCTCTTTATTATGACAAGTATCACGTGAGCACGTGATTCGTGACAATACACTTTCGATGTTATCATGCCTTAGATGTTGGCGCCTGATTGAAGTTGAACTAAAAGATCTTCCAGATAAAGAACTGATGAAGATTTCACACATCTAACCTCTTCTCTCAATTGCTATTACTTCATTCCTGCTCATCGCATGGTTTGCTTGAGAAAACAACTAGGCGTAAGCGAAGTCACGTGATTATCTTAAACGCTTTCAACTCACATGTAGAGTATCTATAGGTCTCTCTTCTCCCTAATAAACTATACTATTCCTATAGCAATCTTGACAAAGAAACAAGTAGGCAATTCCCAGTCTCCATGTCGCCATAAGTTCGGAATTTCGAATTCCGAGTTTGAATCTACCCCTACCCTGGTAGAAAAAAAGTTCCGCATTTTTCAAATGTGGAGCCCCCACGAAGATCTAAATTCAAATAAGGGGTTCAACTTCAACAAAAAAGATCATACAATCCATACTGGTGTATCGGTAACATTTCCGCCTCTCACGGCAAGTGCAAACTTGCAAGATTGGTCGCGGTAGCGCAGGGTTCGACTCCCTGGTATGGAAATAGGAATATCTTCAAGGATTGACTTCTTTTTTGGCCATTCTTAATGGCAATGTGAGTGTTCTTTTTTGAATTAGTATAATAGTTTGAAGCGAAATGAAAGTGAAGAAGCAGGATACTTCTTGGTTTCAAGAAATGCTAAATGAAGAGAAGTTGTGCTTGTTTTTGATTTATTTCTATTGTACGTGTGCTTTAGTTTATAGGCGTTCCTTTTATCTTGAAACTTCTTTAAGAGTTTAGAATCTAGGAAGGTGAATAAACGAAGGTGAAGCTATAGTTACGTTAGGCTGCCCTCTTTTCGTATCTATCTTCTTTGGAAAGCTCTTAGTACCTTATATCTTATAGCTAGCTTCCAAATGTAGGGCCAAAGGCAATGTAGACTCCGTATAGCCCTCAAGAGTTATCTCTATTGTGTCCGAATACTCAAGCTAAATATTACACTTAGGTTCTCTTATAACCTTCAATATTAGTTTTGGCGTGTTAGAATGTATTAACCGGAATTTACCCTTGAATTAGAAGACTTTCCCTCTCCCTCCCAAAATCTTATTGTTTAGCCCTCTCTAAAGTAACACTAAACGATAATAAAGACTACCAAAGCTTATAAGCGGCATACTTTTAGTTTCTAATAATAACTTTACTATACAACGACACCTTTTTTCGTAGATCGAATTTTTTGTTCTAAAACGCTCAATCTCTCTTACTCTCCCCTAATAAGCTGAATTCCTTCCATGGAGACTCCTCTAAGGAGGCCTCCGGCCACGTCTACGCCCCTAGGAAGGGGTATAGGGAAAGGGGGGGTACGCCCAATTCCTCCCCTCCCCAACATACAACAACAATTTGTCTCTGGGACCACTGAAGCTCTAGAACGTGGTGCTATAGGCCAAATCTTCTTTGGAGGCACCCCAGAAGCTGTAGACCACCACCTAAGTACTGCTCTTGATAGAGCACCTCCGGACCTCTTGCCCTACCTCAGGGCCTTTTGTACACAGGTGGCCGACCTTAGCCTAGCCTTTCACCGAACATACACCTCAGGGGCCCCGCCTCTACTACATTTAGCTCCTAGAGCCCCCAACAGGTGTAGGGACGACCCTACATCCCCCTCGACTTCATCCCCCTCTCTGGCCCCTGTGGGAAAAATTTCTTACGCACAGACCATAAAAGATGCCTCAGCGCCTGATACAGCAACACCACAAAACCCCCTACCTCCTCCTGCCACTTCGAAGCTACAGAAGAACAAGAGATCCCTAGCCAAATCTGACCTCAGAGTCTTTATCCGACTACCTCTAGACGCTCCTGAAAGGAAACACTCTGCTCTAGCTATCTACCTTGCTCTCTGCGACCCAAAAATTGGCTGTAGCGAGCTTGTACAAGAAGTACTGTCAGTTAACTCTGGCTTTGCTATTGTACCTAATAGCAAGGAAGCCCGAGCCACCCTCTTATCAACAAAAAAGGCCTTTATTCAAACCCTGTCCCATGCAGCCAGAATAGAGGCCTCGCAAGACTGGGCAGTATTCCGTTTATCAGGGATCCCTCGAAGTGTTGAAACAGTCCAGATCAATGAAAAAGGAGCAATTATATCAACCCTCATCCCTACTACTCCTAGTGTAGTTACTGCGGCTATAGAAGAGCGAATGAGAGTAATACCTACAAAGGTTGACATGGCTACGAGCTCTCTCTCTGACGGGCTGTTCTACACCTCTTGGATAGTATTCTTTGAGGAAAAGGACACAAGGGCCCCTCACACCATCCCTGAAATGACGTCTCTCTTTGGAAGAAGAGCCTTCTTTAAGCGCCTTCCTAAAGTCTCTACTGTTACACAGTGCTCTAAGTGCTGGATGTGGCATAACTCAAGGAACTGTGGGAAGAACCAGCGTTGCCGCCTATGCGGTACCACTAAACACTCTGAAGCCTTCCACCCTAGGTGTATTAGACACTCTCAGTGTAAACTGAAGTGCCTACACTGTAGTGGCCCACACGCCTCTGACGACACCACGTGCCAGCTCAGACCAAAAGCCTCAGGGGCTCACCCCTCAACCGAGAACAAGAGAGCAATCCGGCAAGCATGGAATGAGACGCGGA